CCTTTTTTTTGTTTTCTTTTATTATTTCTCTTTTATTTCTTTACTGTTTTCATTTAAAGTTTCTATTATTTTCTTTTTATAAAATACCAAGTTAGCACCTAAATTAGTATTACTAATTAGGCCTCTGCCATAATTATTTTGGCACACTATTAATTTAGTTATATTACTATATCTTTATAAAAGGCATTAAAGTAATTGTTTTGCCCCAAGCTTTGGTTATTTTAGTGAAATTAAATATTATAAGAAATGTTGGTTTCTCCACCATTATTACTCGTGAACTATTCGTCACATTTAGAACATTTTAGTTTTAATGTTTGAAAACTTTTGTTGTTTGTCTTTAATTTAAATTTGAATTTGAATCGGTTTCGAACTAACTCGAGATTAGCAATTATAATTCGAGGTGACATGGCATCATTAGCAGAGGTTCACTGCAGCTTAATTATCCGGGCGTCACAATTATTTTGAGACTCCTCGTCATGTCCGTCATCTCATCCGAGACTCCGAACAACATTCGGTCACCAAATCACATAACTCATATGATACAAAATCGTCATCGAACGTTAAGCATGCGGACCCTATAGGTTCTAGAACTATGTAGACATGATCGAGACATCTCTCCGGTCAATAACCAATAGCGGAACCTGGATGCTCATATTGGTTCCTACATGTTCTATGAAGATCTTTATCGGTCGAACCGTAATGACAACATATGTTATTCCCTTTGTCCATCGGTATGTTACTTGCCCGAGATTCGATCATCGGTATCTTCATACCTAGTTCAATCTCATTACCGGCAAGTCCCTTTACTTGTTCCGTAATACATCATCCCGCAACTAACTCATTAGTCACATTGCTTCCAAGGCTTCTTATGACGTGCATTATCGAGAGGGCCCAGAGATGCCTCTCCGATACGCGGTATTACAAGTCCTTATCTCGATCTATGCCAACCCAACAAACACCTTCGAAAATATAAACATTTATCATGATATAAGAAAATATAAACTAACAACTTTATTATTACCTGTAGGGCATATTTCCTTCACCTCTTTGTTCGATTTGAAGAAGGAAGCGGGTATCTCCAAGATGATTAATAGTTTACAGATTAATAAGATTAGCCGCTTGGTCAATGGGGTAGCACATTTAATTGCAAAGTTTTGCTTTGACAATAGATCAGATGGTATTCTTGTTAATGATGTTTCGCCCTGTGTAGTGAATTCTGTAATGAACGATTGTATCATCTCTTGTGATTAGTTAATATGGTGGTGTTCAAAAAACAAACAAACAAAATAACCACTCTCACCTTCAAGGCTTCAACCACATTTGATGGTAGTGTTGCCGATCATTCGAGTATGTTTTTACCAACCAATGAAATGTTTTCCCCAAGAAAGCGACCGGGAGAATATTGTTCAAATTTTCCTGCCACGGCCATCGTTTGACACACCGAGCAATAGATTTGATCTTTAAATCCATGAGATGACACTCTTGCAAGCTCCCCTTCCAACACATACACACACCCACACGCACCCGCGCACACACACACCCCTCCCACCCACCACACATACATGCTGAGCAGGTGACTCGAGGCGGTAGGAAACAATGACCTTGCCAGACGGTGTGAGGAAAAACTATGTTATTTTTACATGAGTTTGGCGCCTCTTTCTCATATCCTCATGGCGCCACTAATAAAGCCTATTCGTTTTTTACATGGTTTGTCGCCTCTTTCTCGTATTCTCTTAATGCGATTAATAAACTTGACGCCTCTTTCTTGTATTCTCTTAGCACCATGAATAGAACCTAGTTGCTTTTTACAGAGGTTTGACGCCTTCTTTGTTATCCGCGTGACACGTTTAATAACCTTTGGCATCCCCTTCTTGTATATTCCTTACGCAATTAATAACATATTGTTATTAATAACGTATAGTTGTTTTTACCTTGGTTTGGCACCACTTGTTTTTTGATCCTCGTGATACCATCATCATTATAAAAAAAGCTATCGTAATGTGCTTTATTGATTTTAAATCATGGTTGTATCATTCATAAGAAGTCAAAAAGAAAGCCAGAGCTTTATTGACCCAATTACAATCAAACTTCTGCTGAAATGAAAACTAACCACTCAGTATATCTCATAAACTGTTCATTCACTTTTATAAGACAATGACTAAAGTCGACCTACCTAAACAGGTGTTGCCATCTATGCTATATAGAAGAAAAAGAAAAGAAAAAACAAACATGTTTGCCCAGATCACGTTTATAACCCCAACCCATCCGTTTGGGCCTGAACATGATTTTGCCCTAATGGAGTGAACAAAAGCAAATCCCTGCAAAAACCGAACAAATCCCGAATCCACCATATGCCTAAAAAAGCTAAACCAGCTGCCCTTAAAGAAAAGCGGAGAAAAAAGGGAGAAAACCTCTGGTCCACGAGGAGGAAAGCGGACACCCTTCTCTTCATCCGGCCAGACCTCCTGCTTCTCCGGCGGCCGGAGCGCCGGCGCGGTGAGCTCTCCTCTCCCTTCCCTTCTTTTTCTTCCGACCGTTCGCCGCCCCTCAAAACCCCCTTCTACCGCATCCCGCGCGGTGAGTATCCTCTAGCCAGAGATCCCTCGTCATCTTCCTCGTGGTCATACCTTCACTTTGCTCTCTGCCACCGATCTCATCCAAATCCACCCCTTCTTCCTTCCAGTTCGTAGTGGATTTGTTTGCCGCGTGGTGGAGTAGAGACCAGAAACAGTTTATTTTCCATAATTTTGGGTCTTCAGCGGAGCCCCCCAATGCCCCCACGTTAGCTAGGTCTGTCCCTGGCCTTATCCTTTTGGGAATGTCTTTTATTCTCCCGAATATTGGGAGTACATATGAACCCTCATGTACCATGTTAAAGATTGCTAGGCTGGAACTGATATTGCTGAACCTGCTTTTAGATATCTGAGTCTTTTTCTCGCAAAAAAGAGAGAAGATATCTGGGTCTTTGCCCACCTTTCTTTTGTTGCACCGCAAACATAAACCACAGTTTTATTTTCCACACCAGTTCAAAAGACGAGCACACAACTGGTTTCCGAACCAGTTAAGCGAAACAATTAATAACTCTCCTAACAAGGGAGCAGATTCGTGATCTGTTTGTCAGAATGGGCAGGATAATATCTTCTCTTCGTGTAAATGCAGACCATGATCCCGATTACAATATCTAGAGTCAACCAGTTTGATGCTGCGAGGCTTGATGTTGAGATGTCCGCCATGTTGAAAGAGCAGTTAGTCAAAGTATTCTCTTTGATGAAGGTACTTTCTCCAGTAATCATCTTGATTTGGGTGTTCCTCTCATGGCTTGCACATAAGTGCATGCTGCTTATAGCTTTCAGTCTTGATGTTTTTCATTGGTATCAGCCAGGACTCTTATTTCAGTACGAGCCTGAACTCGATGCGTTCCTCGAGTTCCTCATCTGGAGGTTCTCAATTTGGGTAGACAAGCCAACCCCAGGGAATGCACTCATGAACTTGAGGTATAGAGATGAACGGGCAGCACCCATCGCAGGAAAAGAGGGTATTTGACCATACAATTTTCTCTCAACTGTTGTCCGCTTTGTCTATGATATGTTTTTGTGCCTTTGTTATTGGTAATCGTGCTGATTAGAGTAGTAACATAAATTTGAATTGCTCTCAACAAGTCAATATAACTTAGATTGTTGTCAAGTGTGTACAGCTTGTAAGTACATTCTGATCTGTGCATCACCCTTGCATCAGAATACCCTTTTACTTACTTCAGTTAAGTCACGTTGAAGTTGGGTTGGGCCAGCATCGTTAGGTGTGAGCTTGTCTGCAGCTAACTCAGGGCGTGTGTGTTTTGGATTCTATAATATCCATTGAGCATAAACACAACGAAACATCCTATGATTGCACCTACAAAAATTCTCATTACCAGTAAAATAGTAGATTGTGATGTACCAAATCCCATCGCTGCCTCCTGTCCCATATCATGTCCTTTGGGCGAACAATATACAGTGTGCAGATACATGTTGTGTGACACTTTCTATGTATCCTTTTCCCAGTGTATTCAATGTGAGAGGCACATTTGACGCTTATGATCTGAAGTGACCTCAGATATGAAGCAAAGGTGCATTTGCCCGAGAATCATTAAGCTCAGACATAAGCTTAAAGTATTTAGATGATAATTACCATTGGATAAAATATGTTGCTGAAAATCCTGTTGTCAGTGGCATATTAATGTTTTGATCAGTTAGGAAACTATATTTCAACCAAATCAACCTGAAAGGCTTTCTCATGTTTATACCCAACTAGCTCAGGAAGTTTACGTTATTAATTCACCATCTGAGTATGAGTGGTGACAAGTACCAGAGGGGAAGGCCTACTTGGTGCCTTTTTTCTTTTGCCACTCATTGCCTCATTGTTGTTGCACCTGGTTGCCTTCATTTTTGGGTTTGGCATCGAGTTCCAGATCGTACCCCAGTGATACAACTTCCTCATCTCTGCTGAGCACAAACCAACACACTTAAGCCCCCCAATTAGAAACGATCAGTTGAACAAAGAAGCAATTTTGATGTGGTAAAAGTTTAGGAGGGAGGGCCAAAGACTCACGAGACTGCCCTTAGACAACCCCTTCCTGGACGATGCAGTTGGAGTAGATGCCAATGGGCTCGTGAGCATTCAGTCAGGGCAATGAGTTGGCATGATGACATGCTTATAGCCTCTGCCGTTGCTAGCTGTGGCAGATTGTCTATGACATGGGGGGTGTACAGGGTTTGGAGGGGAGAGTTAGTTGAAGCAGTCCCTGGTTTGGACTTTGGGTGAAAGCAAAAATGTCTTCTGGTGGGGATTAAGGACGGAAAGTTGAAGAAGTAATGGAAAATCATGAACATATTACATTGAAGCAGGTTAAAGAATCAAGTACGTTGGGAATGAGGGTTAATCCTAGATTGCAATCTAAGTGGAGGGCAAATAATTGATTTCCCTTTGTTAACTGTTAACGGTTTAGCTACTTGATTATTTGTAATATTATCTGAGCAATAACTGATGAATTCCACACATTTTTCAGTCAGAACAGGTTTGGAAGGACCTGGACTTTCAGTTTCTCAAAAGATCTTGTACTGTATTAGCACTGTTGGTGGCCAATACTTACTGTCCCGATTGCAATCTTTTTCTGCTTTCCGTCGATGGGGTGATTCTGAACAGGTTACTTTTCGAAAATTACTTGTGGAAACTTCAAATCCTTTTTATCATGCTAATAACCCCTGTTCTGTATCACAGAGACCACTAGCACGTCGTGCTTGGGGCTTGGTGCAGCATGCTGAAGGACTATACAGAGCTGTTTCATTCTTTAATCTGTTGTCATTTCTTTATGGTGGAAGGTATCATTTCTCTACCTCTTTAATTATGTTCATTAGAGCATCTACGGCCGCGGACAGCAAATTCGGGCTTCAAACGCCTACAGGCGTGTCCGCGGGCAGTGACCGGTCACACCTCAAATTAGCACTTCTGGATCCAGATACCTCATTCTTGAAACCTTAAATCCATACAAAACATGCAAACGAGGAAATCCACGTACTATGTGGATCAAATAACATATACTACCCTAATCCTCGTCGGGGATGTCGACTATCTCCGTGCCCGGCTCCGGGTACATGGGCGGCAGGCGTAACTCCGCGTCGGCCTCTGCCTCCTTCTCTGCGTCAAGTTCGGCGAAAAGCGCGTCGGTCACCACCCGTTCCTGCTGGATGAACTGCCGGTTGGCCTCGACATAGGCCTCGTCCTCCTCTGGATCCTCCACCTGAACCGGCTGCTGCTCCTCTTCTTCCTCCTCCTTCTCCGGATCCGACGAGTCCGGAGGCAGGTCGGCTGCGATGCGGGCGGCGCGCCTTGCCCGGATCTCCTCCTCGATCTGGAAGCGGCGCTCCGGTGTCAGCATAGCGTAGGTGGTCTTCTTTTGCCGGGCAATGTCGGACGGCAGGGAAGAGCGGGGTGGAGACGGAGAGCAAAGTGCTCGGGGTGGTGGCGGCGCGGAGAGGGAGAAGAGGTTGTGGCTAGGGTTGGGGACGCCGGCCGGCTTAAATAGCCGGACTTTGGCCTCGGGCGGCGAGCCAGAGCGGCGCCACGCGGCGTTCACACCCCCACCGGAGGAGATGCCAGTCGGACTGTTGGGTTTCCGGACGATTCCGTGTGGGACCTGGCCGTCGGTCCGACGTGGCGGATGCGCCCGGTCGCGCCTGCGCCTTCCCATATCTGGGCTGGATATGAGGGGTGCTTGTCAGCCCGGGCGTTTGAGGCGCCCGTCTGGGTCGGTGTTTTTTGACCGGTCATTGACCGGGCTGTCTGCCTGGGCATATGAGGGGGGTTTAGGGTTCCCGGCTGTAGATGCTCTTTGTATATTCTGGGATTATGTTAACACAGAAGATATATTTTTGCATTGAGGAACAGTTTTAGTATTGTGAACATAGGCAGGCCACTAAGATTATACACGACATCATGTACTTGAATGAGCTGGAATAGCATACTTAAAGAATTGGCTAGCCATTTAAGATCTTTTTTTTTTGAAAAAAAAAGCCATTTAAGATTTTATATGACCATCCTGCTGTTTTTTATTCATTGCAAATATGTTTTATTAGCTTTTCTGTGTATGTTTATACAGGTATAAAACTCTTGTGGAAAGGATTCTGAAAGCAAGACTTGTGTATGGGAGCCCCAATATGAACAGAGCCGTAAGCTTTGAGTACATGAATCGGCAGCTGGTCTGGAATGAGTTTTCGGTAAATCTCCTTTTGCATGTGCCTATCTGACAAATAGCTGGTAACTAGAAATTTCACTTATGCAGTGATGTATAATGAATTACACAGTACCTAGATGAAGGCTTTTGCATTTAGGGTATGCAAAATGACACCTTACATCTAGCTAATGTAGGTCACATATATTTCTGAAATTCTTGGGAAGTCCTAAACTTCTAATGTTCCTATCATATATAAAATGTAAATTTCTGTTAAGGATTAATAGTGAGAAAATCTATGATTAGTTCCATAGTTTAGTATTTCTACTCTAGCGGTAAATGTAGTTCATTTTACACTTACATGCATTCTGCATGTCTAATTAGTGTTATGTACCAAAATTACGGATGTATCACTTCTCTGTAAGTATCTAGTTATCCAACATTTTCTTATCCATCCAACTTTATACAGATGCTTGGGCTTGCTCGAATCCTGAGATAACATGTTTGATGGAACATTGATTGCATGCTTCCTATTCCCAATGGAATGAATCCAGATGCTAGAGCGTACAACTTCAAATGACTTGTTTGGTATTCAGTAGGACGTTTCATGGTGTTCTTCCAAATGGTGGCTAATATTGCTTACTTTGTGCAGGAAATGTTGCTTTTGCTTCTCCCCCTCTTAAATTCATCCTCAGTAAAGAAGTTCCTCCTTCCTTTCTCAAAGGATAAATCAGCAAGTTCTTCTGGTGATGAAGCAAACTGTCCTATATGTGTCTCTAGTCCTAGCATTCCCTTTGTAGCTCTCCCATGTCAACACAGGTACTCTGCTCTTTGTGGTATAGTCGATACACTTGTTTGATTTCATCTTGATATTAACTTGAATGCCTTTACGGCTAACTACTTTCATTTAATGCACTTCACCTTTGGGTCACACATAATCCTGAGAAAGCATTGTCCATATTGAATTAGCTGGTTGTAATGGACCTATGCAACCCCAAACCACGTTTTAGCCAGAAGTGCCTACATAAATTGTATTACAGCGCTGAAGCTAAACCTTAGATGCAGAAGCAGCCAGGCATTGATGTCAAATTTACGAAATATTAGTTAAAGAGTTTATAAATAAAGGCATCAGTACTCGGCACTGTAAATCCTTCTTGTCTTGAGGTTTGTCTTAGATTAGTTGTGTCATGTGGCAGTATTTGCTAGTGGCCAGTCATACTTTAGTGAAATATTGTTTTCATACGAGGCAGCACTTGTGCGCAACGCACAAAATCTTATTAGTATTTGTTTCTCAACAAATTGCTGAAAAACATGTCACCTTGATCATTATGCCAATCTTTTTGCTTCTCAACGTGTTTTGTGTTAGCTTTTTGTTAATAGGATTTTTTTGTTGCTTTTAGGTATTGTTATTATTGCCTACGAACACGGTCTGCAGCTACAAGTTCTTACAGATGTGCACGCTGTAATGAGGTTGTCGTTGCGATTCAACGACATGGATCGAGTTAGTTGTACTTGGCTCAAGAATTCTTGCACAAACCCGCACCCTCTGTTGTAAACAAGAACACTTCTTCGCCCAACACCATCAGATTTTTGAAGCTCCAGTCTACATATTATTGACCTGAAGCAAAGACAAATTGTTGTGGAAACTGGTGGTGTAAAACGTCATGTTTTGTTTGTAGAAGCTATAGAGAAGTCTGCGAGATGGAATTCTGGGTCTGTGCAGACAAAAATATGTTCTTTTTAGAGCAAGAAGCATGTAGTTTGTTTTTGTGGAATATAGTAATTTTCTGGTGATTTGCAGTTTAGCTGGGTACTGTATATTTTTATGGCAAGAGCCAAGAGGTGCTTCAAATTGTACCCGAAGTCCCTAGAAGCCGCGATTTGACTTCTAAATCATTTATGAAAATTTATATGGGTTTAGAAGCCATTGGAATTTTAAACAAGTACACAAAATCGCCAAAATAGGTGATGAAAGATATACACACCGTTTTGGCACCCTCAGCATTTTCTGGCCCATCCTCTACTCCTAGAGATTTATATTGTATGATGAACAATTTTGGCGGGATGGCAACTGTTAATGATTTTGACGCCGAGGATGACAATTTTAGAATTTGCCATGCTTGCAAACTTAAATTGTCGGTAGCGTGACAATATAAATTGCCATAAAAAACGTTTGCAAGTACTCCCTTCGTTTCAAATTACTTGTCACAAAAATGATAGAAATAGGTGTATCTAAAACTAAAAATATATCTAGATACATACATTTTTGTGACAAGTAATTCTGGACGAAAGGAGTACCATCTCTCCCAGCAAACGTCAACTAAATAGCATTACCGCGGCCGGAGGTGGCATAGAGCAAGCGACTGAATTGATAAGGAGAGGTGAGATGATGCGTTCGCTGGGACTGTACGCAGTGGGAAAGTTTTCATAGATCTGATGAGGAATCGAGTTTGCTCCAAGATTTGTGCTGCGAGATCTGGCGGCTATAAGGAGCAGTTCGCTGGGAAAATGTTCCCGGGAAACGTCAAGCCAGATTGCCGAAATGGAATATTTCTTGCGTGCGGCCGGCCTGCAGAGTGCAGACACAATCTTTGCTACTGGGAACAAAAAAGATCCATCCATCAGTTATGCACTGATCACTCTTCACCCCGTTTAGTTGCATGAATCAGCAAATTCACAATTTCTTTTTTTTTCTTTAGAAATTTAGACCTAGCAGCATTCTCTGGTAGAGTTTTTCATCCCAACGTGCAAGCATTGATGGGCCAGTGCATCAGTGCTTGAGCGCAATGTAAGCCCCGGTCCCGGCAATGGCTCCGAGCGGCGGCGCCACCATGTAGACCCAGATCTTGGTGTAGGTCCCGGTGGCGATGGCCGTCCCCAGCGTCCTCGCCGGATTCATGGACGCTCCCGTTGACTCCCTGCTCACAGTCACATACATGCATGCATTATGTCAGATAGTAATACGTAATTTATCATACTAGCCAGGTAAAATCAGTTTGAATACAGATTCATTTAACCGTGGATGGATTGATTTCACTTACGCAGAGATAAGGGCGTTCATCATGATTGCTGCCCCGGCTGCCACTGCTATCAGCTCCTTCACCTGAAGAAAAGAAACAATGGCGCATAACGTCCAATTCATCATTAAGCTGGTGGACAAAAGGCAAAACAATAGTAGGACATATAGCTGAACAAGTGAGATCGATGGGCAAGGAGATGTTATTACCGCCTTGGGATCGGTGGCATGGGCGACGATTACGAAGAGGAGGACAAAGGTGGTGAGGAACTCGATCAAGAATGTCTCGGCGGTGCCGAGCGTGGGCACGGTGGCCACAATGGCGCCGGGGTTCGCCGGGTGGTAGACCGCCTTGGCCACGAAGGAGGCGGCGATGGCGCCTAGGAACTGCGCGGCCATGTAGGGCGCGAGGTGGGCGCGCGGGAGGTAGCCGTAGACGGCCATGGAGACGCTTATCGCCGGGTTCAGGTGGGCCCCGGAGATGTGGACCAGCGACGCCACGAGCAAAGTCACGGCCAGCCCCGCCGTCGCCGCCACGCCCAGCAGGCCCAGGGCGCCGTCGTGGGTCGCGTTCAGGATCAGCGCCGACAGCAGGATGAAGAGGAGCAGGAACGTCCCCAGCAGCTCCGCCAGCACCTTCTTCGCGAGGAGCACCGCCGCCCTCTCGTGGCCGCGGCCGCCCGGCGATGGCTTGGCCATCTCGTCATGCAGCGGCACGATCTTGAAGGAAGGCGAGTTTCGAGGCGCCCTCCTGTCGGTGCCGTCGCCGCCGACGCCGCGGGCAGCAGGGATGCTCAGAGAAACATCCATGGTCACGCTCCTGCTCAACTCCATCCTCTGGTTAGTGATTAGTAATTGTACCAGCACAACACAGACTATCTATCTACTTATATACCTGATCGAGCGAAGGGCTTAAACTGGATGGATCGAGGTGAGTTCCAATGACGCTTGGGGAGGTGTATATATATATATGCAACAAAAGTAGAGAAGGCAGGCCTGGGTTAATTTGGGTTTTGGCGGGCACGGCATGCATTGTGGATGATTGTCCTTGTCCATACAAAAAGGTACGTACACACCCGATTAGCTGCAAATCACTGACCGATGAGCCTATGATTGATTCATCGACGACACATGAGAAAGTGAGAATATGCGCTGAAGCAATGTCCTTGTCGATGTCTGGCGTCTTCATTCCCGTTTTACTTGGTCAGACATCTTCTTGCTCCTCACGACCAGGTCGACCGCCTTGACGTCTGAATTCTCTCATGTTTTGTTTCTGATGATGGGAGGGTGCTTTAGGGGAGGCCATATGTTGGAACGAGGGAATGTTCTCAGATTTATACGGCAAACATTCCCTTTAATAAGGAGCAGAGAGAATGATGGGCACATTTTATTTGGCTGTTACCTGGCTGTACTTACTTGACAACTTTATCAGCTAACGAGAGCAGTGGCGTAGCTAGGGGGTGGCCAGGGTGGTCCATGGACCACCCTGGAATTTCCCCATAGCTTGTATATAGTGTAGTAAAAAAATATTTCTTTGAAAATAAATAAACTTATGTAAATATTTCTATTGATGGACCACCCTGATTTATTGGGCTGGCTACGCCACTGAACGAGAGAATGATGATTGTCCTTTCAAAAAAAAAAAGAGGACGTGACCAACCGAATGAATGTACGTCACAAGTGCGGCAAGCTCAGGCTTATCGACAAAATATAAGACAGCGATATGTTCGGCCATGGTTCAAATGATGTACTCCTTGGAATTATGAGCAATTTATCATATGATTTAAATCCACATAAATAGTAGATAAAACATGACTATATATTAAAGATAGACAAGTCATGCAATCTAACAGAGAGAAGGCAAGTAACATTTGAAGATGTGAATTAGAACAGAACATATCTAGAACAGATACTAGAGGAAGAAACTCTAGCAGGATCTTGGACAAAAAGAACATGAACACGCACTGAGCTGCGGCAGTAACATTGCCGTTGGCGTTGACGTTGTCGCCCATGTCGTCGAAGAGGTTGTCAACGTCGGGGAAGAAGTCGTCGTTGGGGAAGTGGTCGTCGGCGTCAGTGGCGTCCTTGATGAAGAGGCCAGTAGTCGCGCAGAGCGCTTCCCAAAAACCTTATCACCTTTCTTCAGTACAAGACTCAAAGAGGTAGGGTTTCAGAGGCTTACTGTCCCGACCCGGAGAGCACACCGCAAGCCCGGATGGGGAAAAAATTTAGACAACGGCTCGGCTCATTCCCGCAACCCGCGGCGCGCGCGTCGTGAAGAGGCGAGGCGAGGCGTGGCGACGAAGGGGGGGCATACTTGTACGTCTCTCTTCTTCTCATGCTCATACATGCGGGAAAACAACCTCCCTTATAAGAAGACCCAACTCCTACTAAGTGAAAAGTATGATACTAAACTTTACTCCCACCTGTGAGCTAAGTGGGCCTTTAAGATTTGTTAGGAATTCTGAAAATAAAAATTGGGCTGACCCAATATAGACTAAACTCCAACAATACTAATGGTAATGAAGGACTCCTCCCTCATTGGAAATGTATGCAAGGTGTTGACGTATAAATGTATAGCTCATCTTTCCCATCAGCTTGAGCTTTTGAATGAACTGGTTGGTGCGTCATGGTATCGGAGCCGAGAGGTCTTAAATTCAAGATCCGGCTGGCGCAATTTTAAAATAAGAATTTACAGCTCATCTTTGACCCACGTTTAGGCTTGAGAGAGCCACATGTGAGGAAGTGTTGGCGTATAAATGCATAGTCCACCTTTCTTCACCAGCTTGAGTTTTTAGGTGAAGTGATTGGTCGTGCAATTCTACATAAGGTGCGCAGGCGCACTTTCAAAGCCGTAAGATAACATTAACTTAAAAAGTGGTTACTCTAATGATCACATTGTCAATGTGCCCGTCAGGGGTGCAGCTAACCAGATATAGATCAACATCTTTCACCTTTTTCTCCATGTATGACATGTGTTTGCTTTTCAGTGACCAGTCATTTGTTTACTGACTCACGCGGTCACGTCAGTACAACATAATTCATTAATGTTGAGAGAAGAATCAGTCGACCTGTATTGGGAAGAAACTAAACAAGTGTGAGCAGAGCATCAGAGCATGAGATACTTAGCCAGTCTTTGAGTGATGAGTGGTAAATTCAATAAGGACACTTAATAAGACATTCTATCTAATGCAATCTTTCCAAAAATATAACTTGCCACGGTAATTACTACTTACTATAATTAACCTGATGTAGTAATAAACACGAGATGCGTTTTTCTCGTGACGAGGCGAAGCTCGCAGGAGGGTTTGCTAGTCCGCCACTGGCGTTCCTTGTCCTAGGACGATGCATGTGAGCTGCCGTCGTTGGTATTCTTCTCTATGTTGCAAGCACTTGGCCTTCAAGGTTCCAGATCAACAGTTGATTTATTTGTCTCTGTTCCATCAGCTTGATTTGTCGTGCAAGTTCTGACGTTGCATTGGATAATTATTCTCCAGTCCATTACGGAGTGGATGTGGTAAAGTTGGGAGGTGTAGTGGTAATTTTTTCATTGGTGGATTGTTCTAGTTTCTAGAGGTTTGTTCCTTTGGGCAAGAACCAATCAAACTCTTGGCTTGGAACTGTCGCGGTCTTGGGAATGCCCGACGGTTCGTGCTTTGCTTGACGTCAAACGAAGATGCAATCCCGATGTGATACTGAATGTTTAGGGAGGAGATTAAAGATGGATCAAAAGTTTGTTTGCCCGAGCAATGGTAGAAAAGGAGGCTTATTACTTTTTTTTGGAAAAACTATGTAAAAGTTCAATGGTTAGCTCTTGATCCTATGTTCACTGATGTTAAAATTGAAGAAATAATAATAGTGTTTAGCGCCGGGGAATTTCGTTGGGAGAACAAGCACCTGACATGGAACCATATTAGACAGCTAGACCAAAATCTTGATCTCCAATGGATCTTTTAGGCGACCTTAATGAAATACAGTTCTTGCACAAGAAAGAAGGCGGGGATCCATGTTCACCTCGGTATATGCAAGCCTTCTAGAGCGCAATCGTTGATTGCGAGGTGCACAGCTTGGGGTTATTGGGGATCCCTTCACATGGCATAGAGGGCGGACTAGAAAGAGGTTGGATAGGGGATTAGTTAATGACGCATGGACGCTCTTCCCCAATGCAGCGTTGAAAAATATGGAGTACAACCATTCTGATTATCGACCCTTGTGTGCAAATACTGAATACTATAATCAGCCCGAAGCATCAAACAATGGACATCAAAACATGTTCGAGGTATGGTGGTTAAGGGAATATAGCTTTAACGCAACTGTGCTATAGGCTTGGTCTAAGGTTGGGGCTAACCCGGGCGTCACATGTATCTATGAGAAGCTAAATAAGATGCACGTTGAATTCCATAACTGGGATTAGCGGGAACTAAAGAAGCCAAGGGAGAGACTTCGTAAGGCACAAAGAGACCTGGAAAAGGTTATGTCAGGGCCGATGAATGATGACAATGATACAAAGAAAAAATACTTGCAAAATTGATTGAAGACCTACTGGAGTTAGAAGAAATTCAAGTTATGCAAAGGTCTCGGGCAACTTGGTTGAAAAGTGGTAAACACCGCAACACCGATTTCTTTCCGGCCTTTGTGTCTGCTAGAAGAAAGAGTAACTTTGAAAAGATTAAAAGATGACAATTGGAATTGGTTAGAAGGTATGGCTGGATTAAACCCTCATATACAAAACTATTTTACTCATCTGTTTACGTCTAAAGTGCAACAAACAAATCCTTCTATTCTACAAACAAAATAAATATATAATTTTTATGGCACCTTATACTGAGGACGGTGTGAAAAAGCAGTTTTGAGCATATCGCTTGTCGTTACTGTCTCGGTCTGATGGGGATTAAAGATTAATCGAAATCGGACGATTAATCAATTTTATTGGGTGACTATTAGTCGACCATTTTTTTTGCAAATCCTAGGTTCCAGCACTAAACTATGATATATTCAACACAAAAACAATATTGTACAGAAGTGTTACCCTGATTCCTTGCCATTGAATTCTTGTACAATGCCAACTAAAATAGGACAACTATACATATTACATAATAAGGTATGCAAAACACAAATAAACATAGTTCTTATGCACACAATGCAAGAAATAGGCCTGATTTATCGGTATATTCTCAATAAATCGCTTGTCAGAGAGATAAATCGGTCCGAACGATAAATAATGATGATATGGCATAATCTTATCAGTCACCCACCGATTAGTTATAAATCAGATGATAAATCATTGACGGCCGATTTTTTGAATGGTGGAAAAAGAAGTATTTAGTATAGGGGACCTAAAGGTACCTGGTCCTAATGGACTATATGCAAAAGAAAATCAAGAAATATTGACATATTATCGGTGCAGACATTACTCAGAAGGTGTTACTTGCAATCAATTCCAGACACAAAAGCCTTCGAAGGGTTTGGATGCTAGAAAATTACCACATCACCCGCAAAGAGAGAGATGCTTGAAGCGGCAAGGTGTGTGGTGAGGCGCTGAAGGACCAACCTGGACTGCGCGCTGCAGAGGGAGTTAAGCACGTCGATCACCATGGTGAATAGCATGTGAGCAGAGGATCTCCCTGCCATAAGCCACACGCGTGGGGGATAGTGGCATGGGATGACCATTGACGAGCACCCTAATCAATGTCATGGAGAGTAGGATTGAAACACACTATCTGTCATGGAATTGTCACGTCAGATGTCCTCGTGAAAGGACTTAGTTGTGGGGCTATCGCAACTAGGAAGCTTGAAGGGATTAAATCGGGACAAAGGACACGAGAGGGTTTATA